TTCCTCTTACTCTTGAGATTTAGTCTCCTAAATCTTAGAGAAAACAGAACCTATCCTATTTTATTTCTTTCTACTTTTTTACCCCTTTGAAATAAATCCCTATACTTATACTCTATGTAACTCATTCATTTTTAACCTTGTTTCTTGGAGAAATGAATTTGTCTATAAATTTTCTTCTAGGTGGTGCTTTAGCTGCAACATTGAAGTTTTCTTTTTAAATTTAAAAAAAAAAAAACTGTATTGGTAATAGCATTAAAAGGAAAAAAACAGGCCTGACTCAGTGGTTCAGTCTGTAATCCCAGCACTTCGGGAGGCCGAGGCGAGTGGACTGCCTGAGGACACAGGGTTGAGACCAACACCGGGCAACTTGGCGAGACCTCACCCCACAATAAATTTAAAAAAAAATAGCCAGGCATGGTAGTATGTGCCTGTAGTTCCGGCTGCTTGGAAGGCTGAAGCAGAAGGATCACTGGAGTCCAGCAGGTCAATGCTGGGGTGGCCATGAGTATGCCACTGCTTTTAAGCCTCGGCAATGGAGTGAGACTCCAACTCAAAAAAAGAAAAAAAACATTCAGAAATGACTTAACAAAAGAAATGCAAGGACTTTACACTGAAAAAAATGCTTAAATGCTGAAAGATATAATATTAAGAAATTAAGAAACTCAGAGATAGCTAATGTTCAAGGATAACAATACTTAATATTAAACACCCCCAAAACAATATTTAATATAAAAATACTCCCAAAATGAATCTGCAGATTCAACCCAATGCCTTCAAATTTCCAAATCACTTTTTAAAAACAGAATTTAGTAAACTCTAAAATTCATATAGATGTGCATGTGGTGAAAAAGACGTGAAAATACAGAATACAAATAAATTACAAAGAAAAATGTAAAGTAATGCAGCCGTTCTGAAAAAATTTTTACTAGTCCTCAAGATTTTACAAATAAAATCACCATACAACCTAGAAATTCCATTGCAACCTGTGTATGCAAAATAAAATAAAATTCCTATAGTCATACAGAGACTTATGTGAATACTCATGACAACAATATTTATAATAACCAAAAGTAGATATAACCCAAATATCCAACAAACAGTTAAAGAAAAAATAATACTATGATTTTTAATACTATATCTAGAGAAAAATTACTATTTGCCAAAGGGTATAAAGCAATGATGCAAGCTTCAATAGGAATGAAACCTAAAAACACCAACTAAGAGAAACCACATCCAAAAGACCACATTATTTAATATTCCAGTTATTTAAAGTTTCCATAACGGGTTCATCTACAGAAACATAACATTGACTAATTATTTTCTAGCTCTGGCATGGTAGAGAAAAGTGAATATATCTAGGGTGCATTTTCCTTTTACAGGATAAATCTATCCTAAAGTTCAGTTGTAATGATGGTTGCATAGCTCTAAGGATTACTAAAAAATGTGTAATTGTTCACTTAAAACATGTGACTATTGACAACATTTAAGTTTTAATAATGATTTGCTCTCATCCAGTTCTAGATATTTTCTGATTTCTCTTGTGATTTTCTCTCTAGACCATGAGTTATTTACAAGTGTATTTTTCAGTTACCACAATTATTTTTACTGTCCTTTTATTCTCAACTTAAAACTCAGTTGCTCTGTAGACAAACAATGTAGCCTTCTGGTGGTGAGTTTCTAGATGTATTTTCAAACCTTGGTTGATACAACTCTCCCTAAATGATTTAATTTATTAAAATTACATTAATTTATTATATCTATGTAGATGATTATATAAACATGTATCTCTAATCCACCCTTCTCCTCTGAGTTTCAGGCCTACAGTCTCTCAACACTTTTAGACTAGTTTTCTCTATGTCCTACAAGCATTTCAGTCCAAACAGATTCAAACCCAAAGCATGATTTCCCACCACCCTGAACCATCTCCTTCTCCTCTTTTATCCTCTATTTTTAGAATGGTGACCCACGTTCTTCCCAACTGTTCAAGCAAAAATATTTAAATTGTCTTTTATTCCTCTCTTTAGTTAGAATAAACTAAACAGAATGTTTTGTGTGCTGTGAATTCTATTCTCTAATTCTCTCTTTAAGCTATCCCTGGCTCTCTATTGACACAGGACCTCAACACTAATCCCCTGTTGTGATCCATTATCCCCTAAACAACCTCTAACAGGCTCCCTGCCACCCTTCCTTCCTTCCTTCTCTCTTACCCTGTTCTGCTACCTTGCTTATTTCTTTTTAAAATGTGAAATACTAGATGTATTCAGAAAAAAATTAAGTTTCCTGGGAAAAGCATCTATAATGATACTATTTCTGTTATTGTGTCTCTGAAAAATGGCTGAGTAATCACCTTTGTCAACACATTTAGGCCTTAATAGCAGGTATTGGGACATAGACCCTGAAGAAAGAGATGCAAGTGCTGATAATTCCATTCCCTTGCTTAGATGTCTTTGGCCAATACATACAGGACACATTTAACCCAACACATGAGACTCTTTATCTGAGGAAATTCATCCACTGTGCCAGCAGAAACTTTCTGGACTTGACTTACTACTAAACATATTAAATTCTTGGACCTGTGATTTTATCACAAGCCTAATGTTGAGAAGGATTTGGATAAAAGTGTTGCCTTATACATGTAATAGTCTACATAATATATTTTCATGATCGATAAAAGTTATGATCTTTAGATTAGGCCCCATTTCCCAAAATAGTCTAGTACCAACTTTTTGAGAGAGTACAGGTTACATCTTTAGCTCCATGAAAAGTTTAATACAGGTGAAGAGGTGTATATAAGTATACACACACTCACACACACACACATACATATATCAGACAATGTATACATAGTCTGACAAGGTTGGGCTCAGAACTTAGTATTAGTAGTGTAGAAATCAAAGATAATGCTATCAATGTTTTGAATATTGATAGCAAATTATAAAATTTCAAAGGAAAGACAAACAAAAGGAAACATCTATGGAAGACCAAGTAGTAAGTGAAAACACGGCTCATGGAGCCTTTAACCAAGCTTAATAAGAAAGAAGAAAATGCTCCCAAACCACACTGATAGCAAGGAGGCACCATAGCCCTTCCTAGGGCATACAGCATTTGCAATTACAATAAAATTAGGACAAATTCATGACAATAATAACCTTTTAAAGATAATGAAAGTTAAATTAGTTGCTGTACCCTTAGTATGATAAGACAGGTAAATACTATTCATTCCAGGAAAGTTTTCATTAAAAATGATTAAAATAAAAGAATGTAGGCTCATATGAGAGAGGATTAATGTTAATCTGAAGTTTTAATTACTCAAAACAATTATTTCTTCTCAGAATGACGACATCAATATACTACTGTGTTTTACTTCGTATTATCTTCCTATGAATAAAACTAGGTTCAATGTAGTTGCTTAGATTTTTGAACTATCAATGACCAGTGTGTTTTTAAATTAGACAATAAATAAGAAAGGCATTTGCTGAAGAATCAGCCAATCCCAAAGGACAACTGCAAAGTAACAAATAGATCTTATGGTTTACTAAGAGAGGGAGAAAGCATCAGTATAATACTATTCTTAGAAACTGCCCACACCACAGGGACATTATTGCTCTTATTTGTTTATTCTGAAATCAAATTCATTTTCTCAGCTTTACTGCGGCATCTAAGACTGAAACAGATATATATATATATATATATGTATATATATATATATATATATATATATATATATGCATGTGTCTGTCTGTCTATCTATCTATCTACACACACACACAAGAAGGACCCCCAAAAAGCCCAGAGTTATCTTTTGGAGGGCAGTCCCCTTGTTGCACAGGCTTCCATCAATAGGTAAGTGTTCTAGGAACCCATCCACAGCAATGGACCAGCTAGCATTGCTGAGAGGCTGCATTTGGCTTCAGTGTATTCTTTTTTGAGATTCTTTCAATGCGTTTGCCCGTTTCATGATGGGTGATTTAAGAGTGTACCTCCCACACTGAGCTGAGTGTTCAGCAGTTTTTGACCAAAAATGGCTTGACCCCTATGTTCCACCTCCTTATTCTCCTGGTCTCGCCCACAGCAACCTTTTTTTTTTGTTTCCCTGGATGAAAAAAGCTTTCAAAGGGAAACATTTTGCTGATGTGGATGAAGTGAAACAAAAAATGGCAGAAGCACTACAAGGCATCAAAATTGACGAGTTCAAAAACTGTTTTGAGCAGTGGAAAAAGTATCCTGACAGGTGTACTGCATTAACTGGAGAGTACTTTGACGGTGACTAAAGTTTAAATATGTAAGAATAAATTCACAATGTTTAATAAATTCCTTTTTGGGGAGGTCTCCCCTTGTATACATGTGTATGTACACACACAAACACACACAAATATATTTATTTTGGCATATATTTCTAAAACTAGAGTGAGTTTCAGAAGCTTCATCTCTATGTAGTATATTTTTGACTTATAATATGATTCCAAAAAACCCAAATGTTTTGTCTCAGGATCTCGTGTTCTATGTAGACTTTTATAAAAGAAAGCTACTCTATATCAAGCATTAAGACAAGGTCAAGATTTTGACGAATATACAAACAAAGCTGATATATGAACTAAAGACAATTGTGCTTATTATAGAATACTGAGAGAGCTAAATGATATGTGCATATAGCAATAATTGGAAGCTTCTAGCATTAATAATTCAGTGAAGTTTATATCTAGAAATTTGATTTCAAGCCTCACGTACCTGCTATTTATAGCTGTTGTGCAGAACAAATAAATCAACTGTGATATAATCAAGGTAATAATGAGTAAATGCAATTTTCAAACAGAAACACCTTAGAAGCTCTGTTATATACCTCCTAACATACCAGAAAAAATTTAGTTCAAACTATTTACATAGATACAAACTTTAAAGAGAGTCTTTATTAAGTCTGTGATATTCAAACATGTTTTACCAATCAAGTTTAATTTCATCATTTTAATCTTTATTTTATTATCTTTCCACCAATATTTTACCTCTGGTCCTGGAGGGCCAGATGGTCCTTGGGGTCCTGGGTCACCTGTCTGGCCCTAAAAGGGGGAAAAAGATCAAAGTATAAGCATTAACTTGATAAATACAATTAAAAGAGGAAACAAGTATATGGCAAGCAAACAGGATTCATTATATTATGCCAAAGTTATAATGACTTTTCAGATACTTAATTATAACCTTCATTACTGTAAAACTTGTTTACAGAAAATGTTTACAGATTAAATATATATTTACTCTGAAGTGTTAGAGATACAAACAAATTAATGACTTAAGTGTTCAAATAACAAAAAAGTTGTGTGTGTTTCCCAGAGATAAGACAAGAAAGCTTGACTCTTCAAGGCAGGGAACTCTGGATGAGGAACTGCTTTTAAAAATAACTACAGTCCCAGAACTGTCTCTGAAAATTCTTCTCCCTTTGTATACTGTAAGTGGCCTGAATTCGTTCTTAAGATTCACCTGGATCGAAATTCTTGTTGCTTAATCTCTATAAACCTCAGTTTTCTCATCAATAAAACTGGAATAAAAGTAACTGTACTGACATTCTCAAAGAGTCATTGGAGGAGTAAATGAGATCCAACATGGAACGTTCTAAACACAGCACCTGACATGTTAAGAACCTATTAAAGGTCAACCAGTTTTTACAATCACAAATCCTCTCCACAGCCTTGCTCCTCTCTCCTGGCTGATTCTCAGAACTCCTGGACTGTTTTGATTCTTTGACTGAGTTGGGAGGATTCAGCTTACATACCTCCGAAGTCCATTTTGGATATTCATATTAAAGGTGCGAAATCAGGGTTAAAGAAGAAAGTAAGAGGGGAGAGAAGCAGTTGCATAGTCCAAAATAGGGAAAGGCTGGCGAAGCTCTCAAGAGACAAAAGGACAGAACAGGTGAACAGTACTCTAATGACATCTATTTTCATAAGAAAAACTGTGGAACTCATTATGTCTGTCATACTGAGTTTCCATATGAGGTTCAAATTTCATTTAAATAGGCCTCAGACCACATCAGATTGCAAGATACGATAAGATTACCCATTTTCCAAGAATGAAAGCACTGTTTCACAGATGCACTGAATTCACTCTCAGTGCCGAAACATCTGGACATAAAACAGGACGCAATCAAATTTAAAGAAAGGCAATCAAATATTATGTGAAGGCTCATTTAAGTTTTCCTTTCCAAATAAAAACAAAAACTGTGATCTATCAGAATCAGTATATAAGGGAACCAGGCATAAGTTCTTAAAATAAGTACCTCTCATAGTAGCGATGGAGCACTCACTGGGGCCCTCTAGTGGCAAAATCTAATCATAAAGTTAAATTGACAAGCAGGAAAAAACAGCAACACCATAGGGCTTTGTTTTCAGAAAAGCTGACTGACATCCAGATATTTTGAAACATAAGTTGGATGATAATTTTACTGGTTCTTCCAAATAATTCTTTGTTTTGCAAAACTTCAGTTGCAAGTGTCCTATGAATGTCAATTTTCCTTTATAAAACTGAGTTTTCAAGTCACTATTTTAGAGAATTGGCTAATATTAAGTACACCTCTATAAATGACAAAAAGCTTTAGTTAAAAAATGGAAAGAACATAATAATTACCTTTGTTCTCTCTGTCTCAAGGAAAGAGTATTTACTAACAACTTTAGAGTGGTAGTTTTGAGTGTCTGTTTCTCTCTCTGGAATATTTATAGAGCAAAAGCTTCCCTTTACCAGAATGCAAAAACTTTCCAGATCAGAACATTACTTCTTATATCTTGAAAAATATTCTTCATATTACAATTCAGAGCCATGTGGAAACAATATAAGTAACATAACAGCAACATTTTAGATGACAGAAAAATCAAAAGTATGGCATATAAAATAGTATTAAATAGGCTCTTATGATTTGGGCATATTTTCCACGATAGTAAGCAAATGTTTTAGGTAGGCATTAACTTATTTGTTTCAAAATATGATAAATGAAATCTACATAAGCAACTTTTCATCAAACCGGTATCTTCTTCCATAACTAGGAAAGGTTTCCAGGTCACATACCTATAATTTTTCTATTAATAAGATACAGGGCTAGGCAATGTGGCTTACCCAGCACTTTGGGAGGCCATGTTGGGAGGACTGCTTGAGTCCAAGGGCCCAAGAGTTCACTCCAGCCTAGGCGTCAGCATGAGATTTTGTCTCTAAAATTTAAAAAAAAATAAAAACAGATACTAAAAAGTAAGAGATGAAAGACAAAGCCATCTCACTCATATCAATTCATGGGTACCTATCCTATCTACAGCTCAGAATATATGTTTTTCAAAGGTTTAATAAAACAAAAAATAATCAAAGTAATTGTTGCTGACATTAAACTTTTTTTATTAGAATAGTACAGAAAGGTATTAGATAAACAAGTAAAAGGCTCACTCTCACCCTCTCTAGTTCCTTGCCCTTAAATAAAATTATTAACATTCATTGTGATATCTTTCAGGGAAAAAAAATCAAGAGTCTTAAGATAATGTGTTAAAGTGAAATAGTCTCTCTGCCTTTTCCTTAGTTTATTTTTTTCCCTTAGTTTAGACTAGAGAAATACTGATAACAACTATTACCAAAAGAGAAAAATATCATAGTCATAGGACTACAAGGAACCTTAAGCATCATTCAGTCTAACTTTGATTTTAATATGAGAAACAGGGTACTGTGCCTGGCAGGTTAAGTGTCAGAGCTAGGATCAGAATCCAGGTCTCTGTCTCTCAAAATAGTGATTTTTTTTTACTCCTATAAACATGTTATCAATATAAATTGAATCAAAGAGTAAAGAATATTAAAATGGTTTGTCTTCCGTAAGCATATTTGACTCTAGTTTCCTAAAAAAATTAATTGTAAAGCATAAGAGAAGAATTTGGTATCATGTATTCATTAATATTGGCCTTAGCTACTGTGTTTTATCTTTTCCTCTTATTATTATCAAAGGTACAGAAAATTGTCACATTATAAAAAAAACAAAGATGTAAAAAGTTACGGTCCTATTCTGCTGATCACTGCAGATATCAGCAGTCCCTGTTATATGGTTTACCATCCTTAAAAAACAGAAGCTGTTTGTTGGCTCCATGACCTAGTCTTATGACCCTATTGATGCACTTTGAAGTTTCTGAGATTCAGCTCAAGGTTACTAATCTGAGTACATGGCTGACTGGGTTAAATATCATAAAGCCAGGCTAAAAAAAAGAAACAGTAAAAAACAAAGGTCACCACTAACATTTCATCAATACAGGGCAAAAAACCAGTAAAAGCAAAGGTCATCACTAACGTTTTATCAAATAGATACCAAAAATTGTTCTTTGGATGAAATAATTCCTGAGAGCTGTATATAAAATATGGTCACTGTTAGAAGCCACAAAGAATGGGATGCAAAAAGTCCAAAACTGCTTCCTGGGATGCAAAGATAAACAATCCTGAGATGGGAGGGCGGAGTTAGAAGAAACACGATAAACAGCTCAAGAAAACACATTTGTTTTTAAATGTTACATCAATAAGTTATAATCACATGCCTAATTTTTTCTATCTATGATCACCTTCACCTTCATGAGTAGTAATCAATATTAAAAACCTAAAACAATCTTAAAATATTAAAACAGTATGGCATAGTGGCTAAAGCATGGGCTCTGACATAACCTGATTTCTTAGGTTTGTCTGGATGGCCACCTACTAACCATGGGACCTTGGGCAAGTTATCTAACAGTCTGTCTCAATTTAGTTAATATATAAAATAGGCCCAGATGTGGTGGCTCATGCCTGTAATCCCACACTTTGGGAGGTCAACGACTGCTGGCGCCCCAGAGTTTGAGACCAGCATGGGCAACATAGTGAGACCCCAACTCTAAAAACAAATATACATATAAGTACATTTATATACTCTAAAAACAAATATATATACATGTATATATGCATTTGTATATATAAGTTAAATATACATAAGTGTATATATACATTTATATATAAAATAGGAAAAATAATGGTTGTAACTTCATAGGATTGCTATGAGGATTAAATTAGATATACAGTCTTTAGAATACTGCCTGGCACTATGCAAATACTCAGTGTTAGCTATAATAATTATGATCTTTAATATTCAGAGATATATTTTGTCTTGTGTTTTAATCATTTCATTTAAATAATTTCAGTAATAAGTCATTTAATACATAATTAAAGTAATTTTAGATTTTTTTGTTTTATTTTAACGATGGTATAAGATATCTTTTTCATTTACCTACTTGATGCCCAATGGTTAGAAAAAAGACAAGAAATTAGAATATTGGGCCCACAATAGAGTGAAAACTTGCTATCTTTTCTTCAGAATATTCCCTTAATAAAACCGATATTTGGAAAAATTCAAATATTTAAGATGGTTTGTACTTTCTGGCTTAAAAGCCTATTGTTTAATTTAAATGCTATCTATAATAAATCATTCAGGGGAACAACATAACCAAGATTTTTAGGACTACTAGTAACTTGGCTTTAGTCTGGGATTGGGGTGGGGACAGGCCCGACAGTCTCTAGAATGTGAACTGAAGGCTTCAGGGATTAGCTACACTCTAAAACCAGAGAGAGAAAGTGCAAGACCAGTAGGCTTAATATCCTCAGAGATATGAGAAATAGGGAAATTATTGTTTTATAACATCAACAATAACAAGACTCATGCTATGGCATGCACTCCATCAAACAAAAAGAACAAAGCAAAACTTCAAACCTACTGAAGGTCCTGGCTTTCCTCTCATGCCTGGTGATCCTGGCAAACCAACAGCACCCTAAAAAAAAGACAATAGAGGGAAGAGAAAGCTATTATAAGGCAGATATGCCTCCATTTACAAACTACTAGACAATTTAATGAAAGTATTCTTAAAAAATTGAGGAAAGAAATGCTTTCAAACAATAACTTTAAACCATACAGAGAGATACCATACCCTAACAAAATACATAAGTAAAATAAGAAGCACTCCTTTCTATGGAATGTATATTTTTTCATATTTACATGAAATTAATGGTACCTTGTCTCCTGGAAACCCTGGTTCTCCTGGCTCTCCTGCAATGCCTTGTTCACCCTAGAAAGCACAATTTCATACAAAGATCCATATGTATCACAAGCATGGCAATATTAAAGAAGGTATTAATTATAAAACAATAATTTCCCTATTTTTCATACTTCTGAGGAAAATTAACATAACTGGCAGCATAAATTAGAACCCATAAATAAAAACACAATAGTTTATAAATTGTGCTGATTCAAAAGAAAGAAAAAGATAAATGTCTAAGAAATTATTTTTATGATAATGTTAATATTTAAATCACCTTATCACCTTTGATTCCAGGTAGTCCTTTATTCCCCGAAAGTCCCTAAAAAAAAAAAAATGACATTTTGTGACATCACAGGGAAATTAAAGGGAAATATCTATGATATAAACAGAAATATACCATTGGGCCAGGAATTCCAGAAGGTCCAACTGGTCCCACAGGGCCAACACTGCCCTGAAAAACAGAGAGGTATATTAAGCATTCACTAGGATTAGAAAGAGAATGTGGCAGAATTAACTGTAAATTAATGAGCACCAAACAACCATCTCACTAAGTTCCTACATTTGCCTTGTTCTTCAGCTTGTATTCCTCTCCACATTTATAAATCATACCAATCTTTCAAACTTTAGTGAAATCAGCCCCATGTCCTGAAACCTTCTCATCCGGGTCTAACCACAAGGAATATTCCTTCCTTTGAGTTCCCAGAATATCCACCATCCATAACATTCACCTTGCAACATTCCTCCAACTAGACATCTTTAAAAGATATGTGAGTGCCATGCTCCTAGGAAGTAGTCAACAAATAGTTCAGTGATTATCTTGGATTTTTATTTCACCCATATATTCAACAGATATTTATTGAGCAGTTACTATGTGCCAGGCATTCCAATGATTTGATTTTATGATTTGAAATGTGCAGAATGAGAAAATCTGCCATAACTTCAGGGATAAACTGAGTACCAAACAAAAGCTTCTACTTTTCTAGCCTTATCATATTTATTCATCATTTAATATATATCGAGCATACTATATACCAGATACCGTAGTTGTGTTAAAAAATAAAAATAAAAAAAACATAGTCTCTAACAGTCAGGTTCTCAATTTTATGCTCCAATTCCTCAAAAACACAACTACCAGTATTGTCTCCTATAAGCAAGAGACTTAGAAAAGCTCTTTCAAAATGTCATCTTAGAATACAAGTACAATAGCAACAATAAGGGTATTTGGGTTTTTTTGTTTTGTTTTGAGTTGGAGTCTCACTCTGTCGCCCAGACTGGAGTGCAGTGGCCGCTCCCGGCCACCGCAGCCTCGACCTGCTGGGCTCCGGCAATCCTTCCGCCTCAGCCTTCCAAGTAGCCAGGATTACAGGCATGCACTACCACGCCCGGCTGATTTTTTGATTTATTGTAGAAATGAGGTCTCACCAAGTTGCCCAGGTGGGTCTGGAACCCGCGGGCTCAGGCAATCCACTCACCTCAGCCTCCCAAAGTGCGGGATTACAAGCTGAGTCACCGAGCCCGGCTAATAAGGGTATTTGAAAGAAAGATCTGGAAAAAAGCAAGGGCATTCCTTGATGGTTTGGAGTCTGGTAACTTCTGTATCATTGAGGCTTCATTTTCCTTCTTCCTCTTGCTATCTCTTTGTTCCATATCATTCTTTATCCTAAAAGACCAAGTCGTTAATTTCCAAATGTTAAGGAACTTTTAAAGTTGAATCTGTGAAATGCTGAAAATGTTGCCCATTTTAGTTAGAATCCAAATGTCTTAGGATAGCATTCCAGGCCTTTTCATTTGGACTTTCATCAGTCCCTCTAGTCTCCCTCCTTCCATGTATCTTCATGTCCCCTCACTTTCTTCCTCCTCCCAATCCTATATTCCAGCCACAGTGGACCGTTTTCCATTTTCTGAACATGCATTCCCTTATCACATGCTGGAACCTTTGAAGACAAGGATGCCAGCACCGGAATGCCCTCCTACTGTGCTACGTAATGCACGCCACGGTACCTTTTCTTTTTCTGTCTTCCCAGTCTGTACACTTGGTGAGAGCAGAAATATGCTTCATTCATTTTTTATGTCTCAGACCCAGCATATTAATGGGTACATAATAGTTTTTGAAATAAAGCGTGGAATGAATTCTGAAGCAATTAATTAATTCAAAAATAGAATTTAAAACATTGATCTTGGCTGGGCTCCATGGCTCAACCTGTCATTCCAGCACTTTGGGGGGCTGAGGCAAAGTGAATTGTCTAAGCCCGTGAGTTCGAGACCAGCCTGGGCAATTTGGCGAGACATCTCTACAATAAATCTAAAAGTAGCCGGGTGTGGTAGCGCGGGCCTGTAGTTCCAGCTACTCGGAAGGCTGAGGTGGAAGGGTCACTGGAGCCCAGCAGGTGGACACTGGGGTGGCTGTGATCGTGCCACTGCACTCTAGCCTGGGTGATGGAATGAGACTCTGACTCAAAACAAAACAAAACAAACAAACAAAAAACCCAGCAATCTTTCAAGTTCTATTTCCCAACATAACACAGCATTTCAAATAGTCTACATTTATATAATATAAATTCAGAATGGAAAATATGACATCTTCACTTCCAGATGAGTCTTAAAGTTTGTGAAATATAACTAAGATAAATTATTTCCAACATGTTTAATCCTGAAATATATGAGACTGCTAGAGGCAAAGAGTAATACTTTCCACCTTAATAGATATGCAGTACTAACACATCATTGCTTGTAATTTCAAATTCTGTCAATAGGAAAAAGTTATTCTTAATGATTACAGTGGCTAGTTTAATCAAAGTTCATAGTTTTAAAGCCTATGATAGATTCAAAAATATGATAAACATCTTTGTTAGGAAATTATGCCAAAACAATCCATGTAAGTATGGATAAAAGTATCTTTCAAACAAAAATATTTCTTTGTATCCTACTTTTTTTTCATAGACAATATAATATTCTTAACTTTTTTTTTAATAAATATATTCCTGTGTCTAACCTGGCATCATCAGATGAATGTACTTTGTGTACACATTATCCTATTTTACTTTTTAGTGACTCAAAGAAAAATCACAAAATAGAAAGTATTGGGAGATATCAAAAACCTATATGTTCTAATGGACTTAGTAAAATAGATAATTATGAAGTAAAAATTGAATACGGAATAGAATTTCTAAGAAACATCAAACATTTTGTGGTATGTAACTATTACCTTCTGAAAACATTCATGATAGCTTAGAAACAGTTTTCAGTTCTACAAAGACAACCTGAACGTCCTTCAGGATTCCCTACCTATCACACCCATCTTTCATGAGAAGATGGAACAGACAGAAGAAATACTTTCATGTATGAAAGCTTTGATGTCCAAGGGGGTGTCTGGGTCACTCCTCCCCCAGCCCCAGGCAATGAAGATCCAAGAGAGACTCCTATTTCAGTGAATGAAAGGAAAGAGTCCAGAGAACTATATCTTACAAAATGGCACCAGCTCAGCCACAGAAAAATAAAGCACCAGGGCAATTTCTGAAGTCCAATGAGAGAGGAGACAGTCAGAAGCTGGCTAGGAAGACAGAGAGGGAGGGCCTGGAGGAGACTTAGCACCTGCAGAAACACTCCCTGTGCCAGCCCCATTATATAACTGCTAGCTGAAAATGTTGTTAATGTGGTTAGGAACACCCTCTCAACCCAGGATATATTGCTAAAAGAGACTTTTTGCCGCTTAAACGCAGGTGCAGTAACAACTAAATGTCCTAACTTGACCTTGGCTTATTAGAATATCATTAACATAGTATATGCATTGTGGTTTCATCCCCCCCCATGGGCTTTTCTATGGTACTTAAGGGTAATAGTCAAGATGGAATAACCTTGGTCAAGGACGCACATGTGCAATAAAAGTTGGTTCTCAGGAAGTAAGGGGCAGATGAGACAAAAATGAAAGAAATGCCCCTAGAAAAGATAAACTAAAAACCACAAACTTCTATCCCTGCTTACCCATTTTGAGCCCCCTCTCTTTTTCTGAAGAGCTTTTGTTGTTTAATAAACGCCTTCGTTCACTCATTCTTTCTTAATCCTCTTGGTCGGGGGACAAGAACCCAAGGTTGCTGGTTTAAGCTGACAGTGGAGTCAAAGACTCTGGCAACACCAAGATTTCAGGTGTTTTTTCCTGCATGGGCAAAAAAAAAGGGGGAATCTGCTGCCCTAATGGAAAGAACTAACTCTAGCAGAATTCGCTCCCTGCTGGCTAAAGTAGTCTTGGACTTGAACAAACATCAGGGGCAGTCAAGCAGTAGTACCAGCCTTAGGTAAGCCCAGTACCCTGCTGGTCTGCAAGGCTTCAGATGAGATGCTACACAGTGCCAGCTGTGATGGTCAAGAGGTTTCTGTGTCACTCCCCCCAACTCCAGGCAGTCCAGTACAGAAATTGACTTCTGATTTTAGGAAAGAGAGGAAAGAGAGTGGGAGACTTTGCCTAGGAACCCGGGGAATTTCCATTATTTTCCCGTAGTCCACCAAGCATTGTATCTAGGAGTCTGCAAGAGTTGCAGCAAACCTAAGCTGAGCGTATACCCCGGGGCTGAAATGGCTGCTGCAGTGATTGCTGGCTTAGGTAATTTATCACTCAATCTCCTTTGACTTCATGGAAACCCTCTTAAGAAGAATGGGTACAAACAAACCCAGACTCTAAAGATTGGAATAAATGTCAAACTCTTTAATGTTCAGACATTAATGACTATCCACAAGCACCAGGACTATCCAGGAAAACAAGACCTCACCAAATGTACTAAATGAGGCACAAATAACCAATCTTGGAGTAAAAGAGATCTGTGACCTTTCAGACAGGAAATTTCAATTGAGGAACTCAATTAACTTCAAGATAACACAGACAAGGAATTCAGAGTTCTACCAGAAAAATTTAACAATGAAGGTAAAACAATTTTTTAAATTAAGCAGAAAATCTGGAGCTAAAAAATTCAATTGCCAAGCTAAAAAAGTCTATCAGAGTCTCTTAACAGCAGAACTGATCAAGCAGAAAAAAGAATGAGTGAGCTTGATGGCAGGCTATATAAAAATACATAGAGAATAGAAAATAAAAAATGCCTATGAAATCTATATAATAGCTCAAAAGGGAAAGTCTACTAGTTATTGGCCTTAAAAAGAATGTGGTGAGAAAAAAAGACAGGAGTAGAAAATTTATTAAAAGAAATAAAAAAGAATTGGCCAAACCCAGATGAATATATAGATGCAAGAAGTTCAAAGAACACCAAGCAGATTCAACCCAAATAAGAGTACCTCGAGGCATATAATACATTCTCAAAGTTGCAGGATAAAGAAAAGATCCTAAAAGCAACAAGAGAAAAGAAGCAAATAACTTTTAAAGGACCTCTGATACGTCTGGCAGACTTCTCAGCAAAAACCTTGCAAGTCAAGAGGCATGGGATGAACATTGAAAATATTGAAGAAAAAATCTTTTAACCTAGAATATTTTACCTGGTAAAATTACCCTTCAAATATGAAGGAGAAATATTTTCCCAGATAAACAAAAGCTGAGGGATTTCATCAAAACCAGACCTGTCTTGCAAGAAATGGAAAAGGGAGTTCTTCAGTCAGAAAGAAAAGGATGTTAATGAGTAACAGTAAGTTATCTGAAGGTATAAAACTCACTGATTATAGTAAGCAAAAATACAAATTCAGAATACTCATATGTTATAACTGTGGTATGTAAACCACTCATATCTTTAGTAGGAAGACTAATAAACAAATCTACCAAATATAATAGCAACAACAACTTTTTAGGAGATAGACAATATAAGTGTATATGAATAAGGACAACTAAAAATAAAAAATTGGGGGGCAGGGTTAAAGAGTGTTTTTTAGTTTTCTCTTTGTTTGGTTTTTAAATTTTCCCTTATAATCACAGTTGCACTGTTGTCAGTTTCATAAAATTGGTGATAGCATGTTGTTTGAAAGCATCATGGCAACCAAAAAACTAAAATCTATAACAGAAACACAAGAAATCGAAAGTAAGAAATTAAAAGAAGCTACCAGAGAAAACAACTTTATACGAAGGAAGACAAGAAAAAAGGAAGAAAGGAAAAGAGGACCAAAAAAAACAAATAAAACAGCAGTAGTAAGTCCTTATTTATCAATAATAACATTGCATGTAAATAAGCTAAATTCTCCAATCAAAAGACACACTGTGGCTGAATTATGAATTACAGCAAAAGCAGTACTGAGAGAAAAGTTTATAGCAATAAACACCTACATTTAAAAAATAGGAAAAATTCAAACAATCTAATAATGTCTTAAATAACTCAAAAAAGAGCAAACCAAAATCCTAAATTAGTAGCAACAGTAAATGAAGCCGAGACAAAAAATACAAAAGATCAACAAAATAAAAAGTTTTAAAAAAAAAAAACAAAATCAACAAACTTTTAGTCAGATCAAGAAAAAAAATGACTACTCAAATAAATCACAGATGAAGAAGGAGATATCACAACTAACACCAAAAATATTCAAGGTTCACTGGAGACTATTATGAGCAACTATATGCCAATAAACTGCTAAACCCAGTAGAAAAAGATAAATTCCTAAACACATAAAATCTACCAAGACTGAACCATGAAGAAATCTAAAACCTAAACAGACCACTAAAAAGTAACGAGATAGAAACAACAATAAAAAACTTCCCATCAAAGAAAAGCTCAGGACTTGATGACTTCACTGCTGAATTCTACTAAACATTTTAGTGGAATCAATACCAATCCTACTCAGACTATTCCAAATAAATCAAAAGAATTTTTTGGAATACTTCCAAACTCATTCTGTGATGCCAGTGTTACACTGATTACCAAACCAGACAACAATACAACAACAACAAAACTATAGGCCAGTATTACTAATGAACACAGATGCAAAAAGCCTCAAGAAAGTACTAGTAAACCAAATTCAATAGTACATTAAAAAGACTATCATCATGATCAAATAAGATTCATCTCAGGGATGCAAGGATGGTTTAACATTTACAAATTAACAAGTGTGATACATACCAGCAGTCTGACAAATGGGGAAAAACTGAAAGTCTTTACTTTAAAATCTGGAACAAGACAAGGGTACCTTACTTTCACCACTTTTATTCAACATAGTATTGGAAGTCTTAGTTAGAACAATTAGACAAAGAAATAAAGGGCATTCAAACTTGAAAGAAGGAAGTCAAATTTCTTCATTTGCAAATGATATGATATATTTAAAACTTAAAGACTCCACCAAAAAACTAATAGAACTGATAAACAAAATCAGTAAAGTTGTATTTCTATATGCCAACAGCAAACAATCTGAATAAGAAAACAAGAAGGTAACCCAATATACAATATTTTACAAATAAAATAATATCTAGGAATTAACTTAACCAAAGAAGTAAAAACTACAAAATATTGATTGAAGAAATTGAACACAAAAAAGGAAAGATATTCAATGTTCATGTATTAAAATAATCAATATTGTTAAAATGTCCATACTTTCCAAAGCAATCTACAGATCCAATGCAATCTCCCTGAAAATACCAATGACATTCTTCACAGAAACAAACAAAAATTCCAAAATTTGTATGGAAGCATAAAAGACCTAAAATAGCCAACGCAATCTTGAGCAAAAAGAATAAAACTGGAGGTATCTCATTACCTGACTTCAAATTATACAATATTATACAAATTATACTATACCATAAGTGCATTATATAGTATACAAACTATATTGTAGTAACCAAAATAGCATGGTGCTGGCATAAAAACAACACACACCCAGAAATAAATCTACACATGTACAGTCAGCTTATTTTTAACAAAGGTCCCAAAAACATACATTGGTGCTGGGAAAACTGGATATCCATATGTAGAAGAATGAATCTAGAACCTATCTCTTACGCATACAAAAATCAAATCAAAATGGATTAAAGACTTAAATCAAAAACCTAAATCTATGCAACTACTAGAAGAATACATTAGAGAAACACTCCAGGATATGGATCTGGACAAAGATTTTTTGAGTAAGCCTCAAAAGCACAGGTCACCATAGCAAAAATGGACAAATGAGATCACATAAAGCTAAAAAGCTTCTGCACAACAAAGAAAACAATCAACAAAGTGAAGGGGTAATTGACAGAATGAAAGAAAATGTTTGCAAACTACTCATCTGACATAGAATTAATAACCCGAATATGGTAAGGAGCTCAAACAACTCACCAGGAAAAACATTTTGATTTAAAAATGGGCAAAAGATGTAAACAGATGTATCTCAAAAGAAGACTCAAATGGTTTATGAAAAAATACTCAACATCACAATCAACAGGAAAATACATATTAAAATGACAATGAGAGAACACATTACCCTAGTTGAAATGACTGTCATCCAAAATACAGGGGATAGCAGATGCTGGCAAGGATGTGGCAATAGAGGAACCCTCCGCAGCTGGTGGAAATGTAAACTAGTGCAGCCACTATGGAGAGCAGCATGGAGGTTTCTCAAAACGGTATAAATAGAACTGTCATAAGATCCACCAATACCACTGCTAAGATACAGCCAAAAGAAAGGAAATTAGTGTAACAAAGAGATATCTGCACTCTCATGTTTACTGCAGCACTAGTCACAATAACCAAGATATGGAATCAACCTAAATGCCCACCAATGAATGAATAGATAAAGAAAACGTGGGACATATATACAATGAAATACTAGTCAGCCATAAAAAGAATGAAATCCGCTGGGCTCGGTGGCTCAGCCTGTAATCCCGCGCCTTTGGGAGGCTGAGGTGAGTGGATTGCCTGAGTCCGCGGGTTCGAGACCCGCCTGGGCAGCGAGACCTCATCTCTACAATAAATTAAAAAAATCAGCGGGGAGTGGTAGCGCGTGCCTGTAATTCCGGCTACTTGGAAGGCTGAGGCGGAAGGATCGCCGAAGCCCAGCAGGTCGAGGCTGTGGTGGCCGGGAGCAGCCACTGCACTCCAGTCTGGGCAACAGAGTGAGACTCCGATTCAAAAAAAAAAAAAAAAGAATGAAATCCTGTCATTTGAAACAACATAAATGGAACTGGAGGATATTATGTTAACTAAACCTGATATAGAAATATATATACTGCACATTCTCACCGTGGAGCTAAAAAAATAAAAAGCAAAACAACAACAACAACAAACGGAACTCATGGAAATAGAGTAGTACCAAAGACTGCAAAGGGCAGTGGAGAGAGAGAGAAAAAGGGGATGGTTAATGGGCACACACAAAAAATACTATTAGAAAAAGATGTCGTTTTCAGTAACACCATAGGGCAACTATAGTTAATATAACTTTCTATATATTTCAAAATAATTAAAAGAGTGAAATTGGAATATCCCCAACATACACAAAAAATAAATGATTGAGGTGAATTCACTAATTATCTTAATGTGATCATTACACATTGCTTGTGACAAAATATCATATATACCCATAAATATGTGCAACTATTATGTATCCACAATAATTAAAACAATTTATTTTAAAAAGGAAAGAAGAGGTTTTCTATACTGTAAGTTTTGATTAAGAAAATTTTGTCCTTGATTAAGAATTGTTTAGTGGGGGCAGGGCACAATGGCTCATGCCTGTAATCCCAGCACTTTGGGAGGCCGAGGTGAGAGGATTGCCTGAACCCACGGGTTTAAGACCAGCCTGGGCAACTTAGTGAGACCTCATCTCTACAATTAAAAAAAAAAATTAGTCAGGCATGGTAGTGTGTGCCTGTAGTTCCAGCTACTTGGAAGGCTGAGGCTGAAGGATCTCCTGAGCCCAGCAGGTCAAGGTTACAGTGGCAGGGAGTGTGCCAGTGCCCTCCAGCCTGGGTGACAGAGTGAGACTCCAACTCAAAAAAAAAGAAAAAGAATCCTTTAGTGACACAGGTATAAATACATACATACATACATACATACATACAAGTCTATAAAAATAAATCACTTTTTTCTATTATAAAAATATAATTAATATCTTGATTCATACTACAGTCTAATTTTCTATATCTTGTTGAAAACTACACTTAATTAAAGTTGATATCCAACAGTGGCACTAAAACTTCTAATTCTTCTAAATTTTAAAACCACATCTAGCAAATATAATTACACAATAAAATATTTTTCAAGAATAATATTTAGTGATACTCACTCTAAGCCCAGGAAACCCCGGAGGACCAATGCCACCTACAAGCCCCTAATGTAAAAGAAATGTGCAACATTTATTAGACAGGATCTACAATTACTAGGATATTTTCTGAATATAAAGACAAGAATTTCTGGGAAAGGATACATAGAATTGCACCTACTACAGATAACTTCTGAAGCCTCCTTACTCTTATGTATCCTCACAGGAAGTATAAATCTTTAGTGGCAGTTTATGTTCTTCAAAAGTTCCTTTGGTTTCAGCTTTTGGATACTAGGACTACCATCTGTCCTAAAATATAAAATTTTCTATACCTCCTATATATAATTTAAATGAGGAAGTAAAAGCATAACAGATATAATTAGGCTATATATTGTATGTCTACAGTATATGTTATATATTGTATAAGTGGTCAGCATACAGAATTAGAAAAAACATTTTCAGACGGGTTTAAACATTAGCAGTTTTTGAAGTATGTTATTTAAATTCTGTAAGCTTCATTTTTCTCACTTATAAAACGGAACGACTAACATTAGTTAATTATTAACATTAACAAATAAAACCTTGGTTGAATTATCAGAACTACTAACATTAACTGCTAACATTATGTTGTAAAGATTAAAAATCACAAGAAAAATTACCATATGTATAAAAGATCTTGAGCATTTTTAAATAAAGTACTATATCAATGTAAGAAATTGTCATCATTGTTAAATTATTTATATAACTCTCAGGTTTTTAATGATCAATATTACAATTTACTAGGTGATTTTTAAAACTTTTTTATTTTAAAGATGTGGAGAACAATTCAGGGTTAGGTATACAAATGTTTATTATGCAGGTACCCTTGCTGATGAAGTGTGCCTCCCCCACCCCCACAGTTTGCCACTACTGCCAATCCCTTTTTTATACTATTATGATAATTGTTCAAGGTTTCAGGTGATTTGTTATTGATCTTTCAAACTAATTGCCATTATACTTTATACTCTTTGAGATAATTCCTAGTCCACTCCATGTCAGTGTCACATTATTTACATGGCACAAGTTACACGAAAAGCCCTCCTCTTTTTTTGCATTTAAAATTCTGTTTTGAAACAAAGGCATAGTGTTAACTACAGAGAATTATAAACTTAAAAAATATCTAGTTTACTATTGCATTTTAGAGATTTTAAAAGACTCAAAATGCTCTTCAAGAAGTATTATATTTTAAATGAAAAAAAAGTTCAAAAAGAAAACTGTAAATTTTCTAAGACTCTAACCCTAAGAGACTTCATATATATGTAACAGACAAAAAATTGAATAGGATGACTTAATGCTAGGTAAATTATATTAACAATAAACAACTGAATAATGTTGACTTTATTATGCTTGAAATGGGAAGCTTCCCAGAATCATGAGTAAGAAGTAGATGGCAAACATTCCACTTAAGACATTTTTTGACTTTTTAACAATTTATTTGGAAATCAGTCCTACTCTTCTCTTATCCGCCATGACAAATAACAAATAAAACCTTGGTTGAATTATCAGAATTCACTAATATAGTCATATATTATAGGAAAGAGGTAAAAATATAACTATTTTCAACCTGCTAGTGATTTACATATATCTAAATATAGGAACTACTCCTAATTTAGACTACAAGGATTCTGTGGTTGATTCTAATTCACTTTAAAATCTTATGAAAAGAATATGTGTATTTCTTCTATGAGGTCCCACTTGTCTATCTCATCTCTTATGGGAATATGTGTATTTCACGGACTGGGGATAGTTATTGGATGCTCTTTGAGGGCAAAAAGTGAAGCTATTTCTACCTAGTTTCAAAAAATAGCAATCTATCATCATTCTTTGATAATATAATTAAACTACTTGTAGAATGGCAACTCTTTCCCAATCTGAACATTGACATTTGAATAATCCTCAAATAGAGCAATTATCTATAAAACACTAAGAAGTAAGGTGAATCAATGAGAGATCTGAATACAGAAGAATAATCACTGAGTGCAGAATTTTTACATGCAGCTTATTGGGGATTTTATGTATAAAAGTCAATATTGTGATCATATATTTTTAATATTTTATTTAAACAGCCACACCTAACATGGTCAAAATACTTAGTTTTAATGATTGTCTATTATGATGAAGTTTGTCTAAAACGTTTGGCTTATTTCTCATGTTGAGAGAATCACAAATTGGAGTGTGCACAGTGGCATGAAAACTGTTCAACAGAACTTATTCACAAATATGATCACGAGGATTATAAGTAAGTTGCTATGGAGCATAAATGGTGTGAGAAGGCAAGCTTGGACTATCACAAAGTACTCACAGGACTGCCATCAAGACCAGCAGTGCCTCTGTCTCCAAAGTCACCTGGAAAACCCTGGGATTGGGAAAGAGGAAGAATGCTGTTAAAGCCAACACACATAAAAAATTCACTGTGGTGTTTTCTAATAAATAATTTAGTAATAGAAAATGTTTCTTTCTTAAGTCCTAACTTGTAATACAACATACACTAGCATTTTTTTCATAATACTTCATTGATTTTAAACACAATATTTCTGTATTTTCTAAACATTATTTTACACAATATCTACAAAAAACAAAGTTAGGGAAGAAATGTGTGCATCATTGCATAAAGAATCACTGAATGAGAGGAAGCATAATCAAGATTTCTGGCCAACCAATCTCAAGTTATCTCTGCTATTTCACATTGTTCTATACCCCCATCACAATGAATAAAATAGCTAATATTATTAAGCACTAACCATGTCCTTAAAGGCTTTACACAGACACACACATGCACACACACACAAACACACATACACTTTATTTAATCTTCACAGCAGTTCTACTCCATGAGTACTAATATCCTCACTTTGCTGCTGAGGAAATTAAGGCACAGAGAGGGTAAGTCACTGGTACAAGGTTAGACCACTAGCAATGGGTGGGACTCAGATGTGAATGGGGGCAGTCTGATTCCAGAGTCACTTCTCTTTCTACTATACTACACTAAATACTCTACATCATCATTCCAAGATACAACATGTAAAACAAAAATCCTTTAAGTATAATTCTATTGGGGAAAGGTATAACACACATAAGTATAATACACAAACATAAAATGTGGTAAAAATTTAAAATTCCCTAATGCCTAGTGAGAATTCTACACTGTAAAACTATGAAAGATAGTGAAATAGCAACTTTTCTATTACAAATTCTATTATAAAACAACTCAATATTCAACTACTTTTACTTTATGTAATAAAATTTTTCTCTAAAGATTTACTATTCCTCACCTTTAAAGCTCACTTTTTAAAAGGCTACTTTATGAAATTGTTTATAAGACTTACTGTTATGAATATTTAATAATATTTATTTTTAAAAACTCATAATAACAGAAATAAAATTATATTAGTAGATTCTTAAAATCTCTTTAGGCAAACCATTATCAACTATTATATGTTTAATAGACTGCCAAACGCCATTGTTCCAGTACAAATATGAATGGGTTAAGTTTAAAAGATAGTTTAACAATGGAAAAAAATGTATGATGTTTTTAAAACATAGTTAACTCATACTTGAAGCACAGTTCCTCTCATTCTGTAATCAGAGGATAATGTAAAAACCATCTGTGTAGTCAACATATTATAGCCATACCCCCTTCGAAGTCAGTTTAGGTTCAAGCAGGCTTTTGGCTTTCATTGTCCTTGGAAGTAAAAATCTGTTAACAAGTTTACAAATCTGCAATACATCATTTTATCCAGTATGAGCTAATATTGATATTTAAATATATTTATGATGCACAGGTAATGGAAAAAGTAGAGGAAGAATACTGTAATAAATCTGAAACATTAGAGATGAGTGATTTTTTTAATAGATCATATGTAGGTTTTCAAGAAACCTCAGTAAAATAATCAAGAAAAAGGGATACATTGCACGATTCCATTAATGTGAAATGTCCAGAATTGGCAAATCCATAACAATACAAAGTAGATTAGGGTTTGCCTACAGCTGATGATGTAGTGGAGGAATGCAGAGCAACTACTAATGGATACAGGATTTCTTTTTGGGGTGATGAAAATGTTCTAAAGTTAGATAGCATGTTGGCTGCACAACTCTGTGAATATACTAAACATTGCCAAACTATACACTTTAAAAGGGTGAATTTTATAGTATGTGGATTATATCTCAGTAAAGTTATTCCAAAAAAAAAAAAAAGCTGAAAAGATCCTTGGGAATTCACTCAGGATTGCCTAAAGTATTTGGTATTTGAGACTTAATTCCCCGTAGCTCCCCACCCCATCCAATGGGAAGAATTGCTCTCCAGCTCAGCTTCCCACAAAATTAGTGATTTCTTACCACCTAGGAGAGGAAGGCAGGAAAAGGAAGAAAGTAGAGGGAAGAGAGAAGAGGGAAGAGGGAAGAGAACTTGGATCAGTTCTTCACTTATGACAAAACCAATACTTTCTACAACTAGCATAAAAGCAATGAAATACTTGTTTCTGCTTCCTGTTCTCTTTCTTGTAGATTAAAAAAAAGTACAAATATTAGTTATTCACCTTGACTTTGCCCGGACACAATTTAGTTGAGCTGAGTAGCATCTACTTCTAAAATCTTTATATATTATTTCTCCTCTCACTTTATTACCCATTAGACATTTCATTTCATTTTAAATTCTCCATTCAAGATAAAAATAATTTGTTTTTAATCCTTCCTACATGTTGATTATGTATCATCAATTTTTGAAAGAATTTCTACTAAATCTAGAAATTTTTTCTTGTTTTATGAAATATTGTATACTTGATGCCACAAAAGTATCACTATATTTGGCTCTATATTAGACACAGTATTTTAAAAATAATATCACGACTATGGTTTATATTGCTGAATATTTCATTGCTTGTTTACTTTTTAATTCAGTTGTTGTTTCAATTCTAGAGGCTACATGCATATATATTTTTAATATAGTTGAGACTCTATGTTCTTTTAATCATAAACCTAAACATTTGTTGTCACATGGCTTCACTGACCAAAAAAATGATCTTCAAGACTGTGAAATATGGAATAGTAGTGACAAAGTTGGTACTTTGCCTTTAATCTTAGAATACAAGTGACAGTCTTATAATCTCTTTCTTCACTTGGAAGAATGTTGAAAAATGAAATAATATATTTTCTGTTGTATTTGCCTAGTAGAAAATTATAATCATTAATTTAAATCAAATTGTGCTTTCCTAAAAATACCTTCACATTGCCAAAGGACATAATGGTCCTTGTCCAGGATTATCATCCAATAGAAATAGGAAAGCCCCAGAATTTTTGTCTTTTTTGCCCATTTGCCAATTTCATCAATGTAATCTTCATCTTCTGATGAGCCTGCTAGAGTTGCATTGTTGCTTCTGTGTTGTTCCCTTTTTCGCATCTTGTTTTGATCAGTTTAAATGTTTTACGTAATAAAAAATATGATGTTTCAGGGATTTCAGTTGATTTCTTCAAGTCATGAATAATTTTCTTGCATAGTTCCACTGATCAGTATGATGAATGGTTTCAAGTCATTTCTGATGATTCCAATTCCTGATGATATTCATACTTCTGTATAATAACCTCTTTTTGAGTGTGGGAAGCACCTGTAATTTGCTTCATCTAACAAATAGCATATAGTAAAGGCAATACGGTGACCCTGCCATGATCATGTTATACTACATATGACTGTATATATACATATCTTAGTATCCCAGAGCCAGAGACTTCCCTTGCAATTCTGATGAAATAAAAGTTGTGTTGGAGAAGCCCATCTGGTAAGAAACTGTGGGTGATCTCTATGAACTGTGGACAGTCTATAGGACTAGAAGGTGGCCCACAGCCAAGAGCCCACAAAAACCCAGGGCCCTCTATACTACATCCTTCAGGTAATAAAGTCTTCCTACAACCTGAAAGAGTCTGGAAGTGAACTTTTCTCCAGTCAAACCCCAGATGATAATGCAGCCTGGCTGACACTTTGCAGCCTTATGACTGGAGCAGAATATCCAGTTAAGTAATACCTGGATTCCCGACCCATGAAAATTGTGAGATAATAAATGGGTATTGCTTTAAGCTGCTAAGATTGTATTGTTGTCATGTAGCAATAGAAATAGAAAACTAATAACATTGGTAATTAAAGTTTCTTCAAATAGAGAATGTACAAAGTCTTATTTGCAAATTTTACTGTAGGAAATACTTAATATAAGACTACTCCCATTAGTGGGAAACTTTCAGGGAGGGTGGCGGCGAAATTGGCAGTGGTGAGAAACTGCCAGGGAGGAAGGGCACACCTCATCAACAAGGGTACCTGTGTAATGAACATTTGTATACCTAACCCTGAACTGTATGTACCCCTCATATTTAAAGTAATAAATAAATAAAATGATTCCCGTTGTTTCTAGTTTTTAAAGGTTTAAGTACATCTCTTCAAAGATTTTCTACTGCTGTCAATTTTCTATTGCAAATTATAATTAGTGAATAACAAATGAAATATAATTCTTAATTTATATTTTAAAAATCTGACTTATTATTAAATATTTATATTTTTAAAACTTTATCATTCCAGCATTTCATGCTCACCTTTTGCCAATATAAAATTTTTATCAAGTTTCATGAATGTTGTGTTTATGCCTATATAAATGGAAATTTAATAATAATAATATAAAATGTTTAATAATGCAAAATGCTTCTCAGTCTCCAAATGCAAATACTGCAAATATCACACTAATTACATTACCTCTGGAATCATAAATCAGAACAGAACAAAACAAAACAAAAAGAAGCTTTGGATTACTAGGAAACTTTTTTTTTTTTGAGTCAGAGTCCCACTCTGTCATCCAGGCTGAAGTTCAGTGGCACGACAAAGGCTCACCACAGCCTCCAAATCCTGGACTCAGGCGATTCTTCCACCTCAGCCTCCCAATTGGCTGGGACTACAGGCATACCACCAAGTCTGGCTAATTTTCTTTAATTGTCTTGTAGAGATGAGGTGTTATTATGCTGTTTAGGCTGGTCTCAAACTCCTGGACTCAAGCAATACTCCTGCTTCAGCCTCCCAAAGTGCTGGGATTACAGGTGTGAGCCACATGCTCAATCCAGAAGCAATATTTCATCATGTAAGATTCTACTGCATTCGTGCTGAGAAAAATATTAGACAGCTAATTTATGTTTCCTCTTACCTGAGTGCTTCTACCTGCTCAAATTCTCACTACAATCTTAAGTAGTTTCCATCTCCAATGTCAGCAAATCTTCATGGCTTTCAGACATGAAGATACAAGAGATGTAGAAAAGAATTTCTCTGAGACCTAAACATTATTAAACTGTGGTAGCCAGCCTCAGTGATGGACCCCGATGATCCCTGCT